GAGCCGAGTCTGCTGAATTCTGTTTGTGAAGTAGTCGACGAGACACGCCAGTAGGTGCTTGGGACAGCCAAATGATTCCAGTTTACGAAGGAGGACGGAAAGTGGAACAGAGTCATATGCTGATGAAAAATCTAAAAAAACATCTTACAGATTTCGCAGATGCGTCCAAGGATTTGGTGACGTGATGAACGAGGGAGGCAACAACATCCAAAGTGGAACTGCTTGATTTNGCCACGTTCTACCAATTTAGGACTGTATGACGTTAGAGCAATGGGACGGAAACGTTTGGACAGGGTGCTGGATCTGCACGGTTTTGGAATGGGAATGATTGTGATGGGTCTCCAGCAGTCGGGAATAGAATATGAACTAAGTGACGTGTTGAAGATAGAAGTAAAAGCATCCGTTAGAGCCAGGGCACCATGCTTTAGAAGGGATGAAGATAAACCGTCAGGACTAATACCAGTGGATGATTTAGTTGTACAAAGGAGTTTAAATATTTCTTCTCTCGAGAACGGGGTTTATATTAGCTGCGTCATCCGGAATCCATGAGAGGAGGATCACTACTCGGATGCACAAATGCCTGATTTATACTCTCAACGTCTACGGTACATTCATTGGGTTTGGACTTCGCTCCACATAAGATTGAAGAAGATTTGCCAAATCAGGCAACCAATCGGACCAATGCAGTGAGAGACCTTATCGCATAAGGTTGAGTATATTCACAATCTGCCGCTAAAAGTTTGTGGTAGACTGAATTGAGCGTGCATAAAATGGCTACGGTAGAAGTCCAACAGTTTGAATCTTTGCTGACTACACCAAGCGAGACGTTTGTGTGTCGAATAGCCTCTAGGTAATTTGTAATCCTTCTTATGTGATGTCCCACGGAAATAAGGTTTCAAATTATTCGATGATTTGACTCTTTAGTATGCTTCAGTTTTTCTCCGATGCTATTTCCAGAATGAATTTCCTGTTGGCTGAGAGAATAATTGTCATCTTGTGAATATGGTCTCCTTTTTCACGAGGACTTCACCTTAACCTTCGTCTGGCTGACCGAAAAAGAAGATTACAATAACCCATTTCTTGCCTGACGGTATCTAGGTTTTACGTGACTAATCTGGACGGTTGCTTAACAGAAGTAGGAAGAAATCATTCCCAAATATGTCAAATTTTTGTTTTAACTCATCGATCCCGGTTTACATACTACGTGTTACGTCTTCTAGTTGATCATCTGTTGTTCGAAATGCTGATCTTAGTTACAATGAGTTTATACTCTTTGGTGCATCGTGGAATTGTCAGCTGCGTTCCTCTGATAAGTACGAAAAAGAATTTTTGTATTCCTACGGAAGCTTAGATTCGATTCAGATAATTTCGTCTACTCTGAACACTTCCCTGCAGCTGATTGCCAAACGAGATGGTACTGGTGCGTTCTAATGCGTACTTTGAGCGAAACTGGCGAAACAGGATTGAATAATACAACGTGTGTACTTGCTATCTCCCTCTCTCTCTCGCTCGCTCGGTCACGTGTGTGCACTTCACTGCGACGGCCATACGGCCCAGTTACGATATCAGGTTAATTGAGGTCAGTTGTTCACTTTTCTCACGCTGCTTCCACCAAGGTGTTCCCACTTGATGGAAATGTTTGTGATCATCATCAAAGAGCACTGGATAGCTGTTTCGTCCTGTTTGGGACTCGTCAGCAGTGCGTACTTTGTGTGTCCCTGTCAGGACTCGAACCGCGATCAGTCCAGTTGAGACTTCAACCCCTTACCCCTGAACTACACGGTCTATGGTCATCACCTTGTGCAAACGGCTCAATCAATTTTTAGATTAGCAAGCTTGGATTAGCTTATTCGATTGACTTTGAAATCGCTTCATCTCATCCATTGAACGGAGTGGCCGAGGGGAGGGGTATTACATCATACACATTGTCTTGTCCCTCGCACCGATAACCTCGAACAAGCAAATTCCCTCTGACACTCAGCGATCTAGTTGGATCATTTTCCGCGATTTGTGGCATCTGGAACCCCTCATCTCAACATGAGACTGTCTGATTACCGTATTGTACTTTTTCTAACGCTCTTCAAATCACGCCCAATCTATCCGTGTGATGATGGCACTCCTTTACAGTCGCAATCCACTAGGCCTGCCTAAGACGCGCGGCTGTAAACAAGGTGAGGTTTCTCGCTAGGTTTAGCTGGGCAAGCACCGAGTCCTTCGTTGCGGCTGTATTATCCGACCGATCGATAAATGAACTTGATCAGTGGTGTGGTTTACGGGCCGGCATAAGAGGAGGATAAGTTCAGAATCCGATGCTGTTTAAGTAGGAAATTCGGAATGGAAAAAACGTGAGCGATAATGACACCAGGCCAACGCTTGACTCGTCTGAGATACACGCACTATTTTTTTCATTTTTCTAAGCGGGCTCGGTAAACGGATAATCGTAATAAAACTTTGAACTTGTCTTAAGAACAGACTACAATATCCACTAATACAGGCCCACACAAAATCTTCTTAGTGTTTTCTCAACTAGCCGTTTTCGCGTAGAACGATCTTACTATGTAGTTCAGTGTACTTGTGAGATCAACCCACTATTTGTGGGTAACTTGGGATCATACTCCCAAGCATACATAACCGGACTAACACCGAATTGGACATCTCACATCACAAAAATGGTGATTAGTTGAAGGGGGAACAATGAAACATTGGTTGGATGGCTTTCCCAAGTCAGACAAATTAATGTGGTGAATGCTCACGAACGAAATGAAATTGCTGATGAGGCCAGTGACCCTATCCCAACCGTTAATAAATATTTTTTCATTCCGATAAATTTCACCCCTTTTAAACGGAAAAGTGTATTATTGCTCATAGGTGTTTATCGGACATTTTCGCATCAATATTGTTTTGTTCACACAAGAGATTTCCCTTGCGAGAAATGAAAATACACTTCACAAACTCAGAACATGTCTACATTACGTTTGGGATAGGAGTGGTTTTCCACCCTTGGTGCTTCATATTATTGTGTCGCCCTG